AATAAAATAAAATAAAATAAAATAAAATAAAATAAAATAAAATAAAAATCATGTGCCTGACACATGGTAGCTTCAAGAAGAAGTGTTCCTCCCCATGGAAGGAGTTATTGAGAAATGTATCTCAGGGCAGAGATGCTGTCTTGCCCATGAGAGGGGTAGAAAAGACACATACAAAAGTTAGCAAGAAAGAGGAAACTCCATTAGCTCCAGCCCCAACCCCTAACCCCACCCAAAGCCCTTCCTAACTCATTGGAAATCTCACCCTGGAGCTTTGCAGCCTTTATTCTGAAGGCTCTTGGCTATGCCTTCCCATCCCAGGAGAGGCTAGTTTACAAGAAGGACTTGAAGCCTTAAGTGTCTCTGATTTAATTCCATGCCCAATGAGACAACGGCTCATTTAGACAGCTCATTTCTGCTCCTACAGCCCATTAGAGGCAGCCCTAGCTCACCTCCATTTGGCTAACAAGCCAGCTTGGGCTCAGAAGGAAATGGAGGCGATTTACAGCAAATTATTCAATTAGAACAATGACTGGGGCGGCTTCTGCCATTGTCTAATGGGCCAATCCCAATACAGCTCGAGGCTGGGCTGAGATTATTTAATCTGCAGAATCCATTAGGGCTGTCAACAGGGGCAGGACAGTAAATATTGTGGAAAGCAGTTAAACTCCAATGCAGCGCTAGGTACTGGGAGGAGGCAGCTGGGGGTGGGGCGGGGGAGGGGTGGCTGAGAGAGGAATGAGACGTGGGGATTCAGTCATGTCCCTCATTATGTGATCCTCTGCCCCCTCATTTTTCTCCTCCCTAGAATTTATCATAATTGTAACTAAACAATTAACTGAAATTAGTAGCTTAATGTTTTCCCCCCTGAGGATCCCAGGATCAGGGACTAGAGGTGTGTCCTGCCCACTGCCATATCCCCCACCCCACTCCTGACTCTGTACCTGGTGCACAATTATCAGATCCACTAACACTTCCTGACTGCCTGGATGGGTTCTCACTGAAGGAGCCCTGGCAGGTGCCTATTCTGCTACACTGTGATGAGTATTCATTGAGAGGGTGATGGGAGGGCCTTTTCCAACCATGCAGGCTACAGGGAGAGGGCTCTGCATCCTTACACCCACTGACACAAAGCCACCTGTCCCCTCCTGAGTTTCTGTGGCCCTCACGGTCTGATCACACCTGGCTAAGCAGGCTCCCTCCCCACCCCCAGCTGTGACCCAACAGGTTCTCCCAGACAGAGAGACAGGGACAATGGACAGTTGCATCACAACTGCAAAAACTGCCAAAGTGGGTGCTAAGGGAGGTCCAGAGGGCTTCCCAGCGGTACTAGGTGAGAACAGGTGGGGAAAGGGGTCAAGGCCTGACTTCAAAGCTGACACTTGCAAGAGGAATGTGAAAACACAGGAGAAAGGAAGGTGTGGAAGGAAGGGTGGGCAGACAGAGGGAAGAACACGGGGAGATTAAGGAACTGCAAGTGCTTCTAGAAGGCTGAAGTGAGCACCCCGGGCTGGTGATGGAGTTTAGAGGAAACAATCCCAGTAGCGTGGGAATACAGAAAAAGGAGCAGCCACTTTCAGCTGGGAAAGTAGGCCAAACTTCCTAGAGGAGATGACATCTGAAGTGGGTCCTGAATGCAGGGTGGGATTTTGCCAGGTGAAATGGGACAAGGACATTCAGTGCCAAGAGAGCAGTGTGAACAGTGGCATAAAGACCAGAAAATGAAGCAAGTATTCAGGGACCCAGATCTCTCGCAGGGCACTGGAGGGAAGGTGCTTCTGTGGTCCTGCATACGAAAGGAATGGATTCTTTGGCCTCTTTCCTGTGGGTGGTAGGGAGCCACTGATGGTTTAAGCAGGGGAGTAAAATGATCAGAGTGAAATTTCAGCTCCCATGGTGACCAGTAAGTGGATGGACTCCAGGGAGTGGGGCCAGTAGCAGCGGTCCATTTAAGAGACAGGTGCAACTCCCAAGGGGACCACCAAAGCCTGGGTCGGAGGCATGGAGACCTGGGATAAAAAGGAGGGCGGCTGCAATGAGCTTTGAGAGGTAACAGCAATGAGCTTCCCTCCTCACCCCAACTCGAGGCACTGTTGATCTGTGGGAGCATGGCAGCAGTCCTCAAGATATTTCAGTATTGCTAGCTGGGGTGGCCAGCATGCTGCAGCAATCAGATACTCTAAGAACCCTCATTCCCAGGGGAGATGCAAGAAACTAAGCAAGCTGTCACCTAGCCCTACTGAATAGACTGAGCCTCATGAAATATAGACAGCTCCGGCTCCCTGGAGGAAGCCTGGGTGGCCCCTCACAAGCTGTCAGGCAGCAGAGGCAAGCAGGTGGGCAGAATAGACCTCAGGGCTCACAGGAGCTGGGCTTGCCCCTCAGGCCCTGAAGACCCTGGCCAGGCAGCCGGGAAGGACTGTGCATCAGACCTCAGCCCTGCTCCTCAATTCCAGAGCCCGAACAGTTTCAACAAAGCACAAACAAGGCCCCAAGCCTCCCCTTGATTAACTGGATACATCTACCTTCTAGGCTTTACCTAAAAGGTAACAAGAATCCCACCTGCGCAAATATGTCCGGGGCAAGACTAGAGCCCTCCAGCCACAATCTGGGCAGCCTTCCTGGAGGAGCTCACATCATACTGTTAGAGTATTAGAATTAGTAGGAGGCCTTAGAGATTATTCCCTTGTAATAATAACTATAATGATACTAATAATAAGTAGGAGGAGAAGAGGGAGAAGAGGGTGCTATTTGTCAGGCACTGTTGTAAATGCTTTACAGTTATTCATCCTCAAAATAATCTTATGAACAGCTCGTGTTAGCCCCATTTTTCAGATGATAAAACTGAATCACAGAGAGACTAACATGGGCAGATGGCAAGACATGTTCAGAGAGGGGAAGAGATCTGCCTGAGGTCACACAGCAAACTGAGCTATATCTGGAACTTGCATTCGGGTTTTCTCACTCCCAGAAACTTCCCCATGAGAAATCCAAACAAGGCTTTGTATGGTTAGAGCCCAGAGAGACCCCACTCAGGCTCAGTGTGATTTTCCCTGGGAAATCAACGGCTCTGGCAGTTCCCCATCTATAAATCTAGGATAATTACTCATGCTCTTTCTCCTTTGCTGTAGCTATCAAGCACAGGGGAATGACCAGTGGATAGGAAACTGCAGGGAATCCTAGTCTAATTCAGCTCAGCCTTGGAATAAGACAGGCAGGTTGATGCAGAGATGTCCACGAGTCCTCAGAGGTCTGAGAGAAAGGAGCCAGAGTTAAACTCTCCCTGCTGAGGTCCAGGTGCCCCAGTCCCTGATCAATATGATTGCCCATCCTGTAAAGGGCTCCAGCTTGTCAAAGCCAACTGCGAGGCAGCCTCTTTTAAATGAGCATGTGTAATTGTCCCAGGGGGAAGCCCAAAATTCCTAGAACCAGGGAAGCCATGGCTGCTCCATCTCGTATCTCAGGGTGGCCCCTTCCTGATTCTAGGGCTATGACACCCCAGCTGCCCATAAGAGGAGCACCCAGCCCTGAACCACACAAGGAAACTGCAGTTACTGCCTTCTGGGAGCTGGCCCTGAGCTGCTGATCATCTAATAGGCGAAAGTGAGACACTGGTACCCCAGACGTCCAAGACCTTAGGCAGAGTGTAGCCCCCGAGAGAAGCTATGCCGGGCCTTTGGGCCACCCCCATCCAGAACCCCTGTTGCTTAAGAACACAGATTCGGAGTCAGTGCCTAGCTGTGTGACCTTGGGCACTAAGTGTCCTTATCTGTGAAGTGGGGTACATAATAAAGATAATGGGAGTAATGGTTCCTTCCTCATGGCACTGCTATGCGGATCAGTGAGATCACAGATATGAAGTACCTGGCACACAGGGGTGCTCAGAATCAGCACCCCTGTTTCTCTTCTGGTGAGGACAAGTAGCCAGCAGCAGGGGGGGCAGCCAGATGGAGGCCAGTCTACAGCCTCCTGAACTATATCCAGCTAGTCAACTGCTTTTTACTCTTTCACTTTTTAATTATCCCCTCTTACTTCCTAACTTTTCCTGATGTGAATGTTAGCCAACTGCTCAAATGTTCCTTAGCTCCCATTTGCAAAAGCGAGAGCCCTCTCTCACTGGGCCCAGATCCCAGGGTGCTAAAATTAACAATCAGTATACTTTAAGCTAATGACTTACTGGTCGTGACTGCCACGAACAGACATAACTCTCAGATAAAAGCCATTAGAGAAAATTGAATAGCTCCAGCGTGGTGAAAATTTGGATACATCCTGTTTCATAAATCACGCTCAGGGGTTACACTGGGCGAGCTATTTCCCTCTCTGAGTCATGATGAGGCCCCAGGTTGAAGGGGTCTATATACCCTTGGGAAAGAAGACATAGGAGG